ATGAAATAAAACAGCCTAGGGTTTGAAGTGAGGTTTTGGGGTGGGCTCTAATTCTCCATAGTCTCCCGGTTTAGGTTCTAAAAAAACGGTACCCGAGTTCTCCTTGCTGGTGCCCCTTTGGGCTTGCCAGACCCTTAGTCCTAAACCCATCACAGGTTTGTGTGGACTAAGTTAAACTCGAGAGGACACATTCCCTTATGTCTATGCGGAGAATAAATTCACACGAAGACATAAGGTATAATGAATCCCGAAGGCTACTTGCTAGGCATATGCGGTGAATAAATTCACACGAATGCGTCGCTTTCACCCCCACTTAAAACGGGTTCGGAGCTCAGGTTTAGAGCCTTAGATGAAAAAAGACTTTAAGGGCTGAAATCATTGAGAAAACGGTTAGTACAACTAATTACTCGAAAATATAATCAGAAGTAAGTAATAATGATCGAAATGTTACCTTAAAATTTAAACTTACCATTTTCATTAAAAAAACAACTGGAAATTACCTTAGCCTGACTCACTTACCTGTGTCCCCAGCAGAGTCGCCAAGCTGTCGTAACCGTCTTTCGGTTGGGCCCCGGAATTGGGCTTCGACTTAGATTAAATGGGATTGGAGTCGCAATCGATTATTTATTTAAAAAAAATAGGTTAATCGGATACCTTATATCTTACCTGATCTGTGTCTTACCAAAGATATGTCGGATTCGGGAGTCGGTTACGGTCAAGGAAGGATTAGCACCCTTGAACCGCCCTTTCGGTACTACGTAATTTCCAGTTGTTTTTAATTAAGAAAATCGAAAGTTAAAATTTAAAGGTAACATATGATCCAAAATTACTTACCTCCGATCAATTTGAAAGAGTACCCTTAAAAAGTCGAGAAACGCGTTAAAGGAAAAAGGAAATAAGAGTAAATGAAATAAAGAAAATAGAAGGGAAAAAATAAAAAAAATGATGAAAACTAAAAGAGGAATAAAAATATAATTATTAAGTGCAAAATAATAATAATGATAATAAGTAGTAAAATAAAAAACGCAATCACACCAAAAGAAAGTAAAAAAAGAAAGTCAAGGTTTGGTGAAGTATAACTGTCGGGAAGGAAAAAGACGATAAGGGGTAGGACCGTAGTTAATAAATGAGTGTGATGTATCCCTATAATATAGTAAGAATGAATAAACAAAAAAACATTATGATATAATATATATATATATATATATAATAAATATAATAACGAAAAAAATAATTTAATAAAGTAAAATAATAATAATGTAATATAATATAAATACATGAAAACAAAAAAATAAAGAGTATAAAATATAAAAATATAATTAAATGTATATATGCATATGTTTAAAAAAAAAAAATACAATAAAAAAATATACATATAATGATAATAATAGTAGCAAAAGAGAAAACATATTTATACGTTAATAGTAAAATAATAATAGTAGCAAAAGAGAAAAATATATTTATATACGTTAATAGTAAAATAATAATAAATATAATAGTTATAAATATATATATATATATATGATAACTTTAAAAAACATTAAAATAATATTAGAATAAAAATAATTAATATATATATATATACTTAATAATACGAATTATCAAAAAGAAATAAAAATATGAAAATAATACATAAGAGACCGTTCATCGGCGGCAAACCTCGAAAAAAAATTGATTTTTAAAATCCTTTCCTTTCCTCGTTTTAAATATTCTAGTATTTTTCCAAAACGGCCTCGGGGTTGTGTAGATCTAAAAGAAAAGTTTCGAACGACAACCCCTTTTCCTCGGCCAAAACTATATATTTTTTCAAGCACAAAGACGAATAACAACACATGCAAGTGAAGAAAAGAATGCGAAAGGTAAAAGCTTTCACCTTTTATTGCTCCTGAATTGTTTACAATAGCTTCAAAACAATCTATTTGCTCGTATTTTTTTTCTGGTAATTTCGTATGCCCATCGTGTGTTACAATAGTGAGCTACAATGACTATTTATAGTGCTTGTGGATCCTATCTTTAGGAGTTTAAAACATAGCAAAATTCTATCCTATTTTTAGGAGTTGAATCCTAGCAGAATTCTATCCTATTTTTGAGAGTTTGAATCCTAGTAGGACGAAAAAGGTGTGTTGACAATTTGCAGTGCCACAGAGCGAGAATTGCTCAAGGATCTTGCCTCTCTAAGTAATTCAAGCGATGCCGGTCAACCTATTCGCCCAGAATTACGTCTTCTAGCAGGTTACTTAGGCATAGTTGGACGTAATGCGAATCTGTTACCGATCAATTACGAGTCATGGCGCGAAATGTCTAATAGTAACAAAAATCAAGCGTTGGATTTTGTTAAGGTAATAATGTCATTATAATACATACTCTATAGAAATTCAATACTAATTTATACTTACGGTGCACACTTATATGTTGTATAGGAGAAATTTTCTTTAGAGGTCTCTGACGATTATGTGAAGCAAACGTTAGGGAAGAAATACTTCAAGAATGATCTCAGCCTTGAAGAGAAGTTGCAAACAGTCCCACCAGGAATGCTCAGGTACCAATGGGAAGATGCAGTCAGATTTTGGAGTTCACAAAAAGGTCAAGTATGATGTATTTTTCAGAAATAATTGTAACGAATTGTAAATCATCATTAAAAGTGGTTGTTTGACATTGTAGACCCGAGAGCATATTGGTGTTGCTAGCAGGCAACAACAAAAGTTTACGCACATGGCTGGATCGAAGAGTTTTGCTTGTATAGCTCATGAGGAGGTATTATAGATTATTGAAATAGTTTTTTTGTATTCCAAGTACATACTAACTCATAGTAATTATATTATGGTACATTGTAGGAAAATACATCCGGTTCTAAAGTTGTTCGAATCCAACTCTTCGATATGACACATACGAAGAAGGATGTCACTCTTATGACTGCTGACGCTGCAGAAATTATGGTACGTTTTTTGGGTAGATGTTTTAAATTTACCTGACTTTATTTATATTTGTACCATGACATTTTTTATTTTAATTAATTATTCACTTTATTAGGAAAAATTGAGGGAGAAAAAGGTGGAGTATCATGTTACTGCTTCGAGTCAAGGTATTGTTAATGATGATGACATTGAAAACCAAGCTATTAATGACGTTTTGGGTTCTGAAAGATATGGTCGGGTGCGCTGTCAAGGATCATTCGTTACTCCCACCAAATATTTTGGATCCAGTTCATCACAGTACATGTCATCACAGTCTTGATCTTCCCACCAAGAAGTTTGTCATTTAAAAGAAAAGTTGGCTGAGATGGATCAACAAATGGCTAACTTGAAAGCGGAAAATGAAGCAAGGGAAGCAGAGAGAACAACAACCAGAGCAGCAGCGGAAGCAGCGACAACACAGAGAGAAGTAGCGGCAGCACAGAGAGAAGCAGCATATCAGCAGAGATGTGAAGAATTTGAAAAACGACTCAATGATATGATGCTGATGATTCAGAAAACGCAACCTCAGAATCCATAATCGTAGTCTTATTTATGTTATGAGCATTTTACTGAACCTTCTGTAACTGAACTTATATTACGTTAATGAAAACTTTTATTTATTATATTAGATTTAATGTTGTTTGTTATGGATATAAAGTTTGATATTATTATTGTTTTGTTTGTTGGATAATGGAACAGGTTGAAAAAACAGTTTTGGGGTAATCGAGCATAATTTTTAGGATTGTTAAATTCTGTGTTATTTAGCAGCGTTTGTAAAAAAAAATCACCGCAATATACCATACATTTAGCGGTGTTTTTATCCTACAAACGCCGCTATATACAGACCTGTACTGACGTTTTTAGCAGAAACGCCTCAAAACATCAATACCTACTGCGGCGTTTGTGAAAAAAATGCTGCTAAACATCATAACCTATTACGACGTTTGTCTGAAAAACGCTGCTAAATATTAACACCTATTGCGGCGTTTTTATAACAAACGCCACTAAATATCAACACATATTGTGGCGTTTTTATGACAAACGCCGCTAAATATCAACACTTATTGCGGCGTTTGTCACACAAACGCCGCTAAATATCAATACTTATTGTGGCATTTTTTGTGAAAAAAATGCCGCGAACTTTAGCGGCGCTATTTTCAACGGTGGTTTTTACGGCGTTTGTCTTAACGTCGCATGTGTTTTTAGCGGCGCTTAAAGGTAAAAAAACGCCGCAAAAAACCTGTTTTGCTGTAGTGAATCAATTTCAGCTCTAACTTAGCCTAAAAATTTTCGGTTCCATTTGAACTCAAATTTCAACCTAAAATAAAAAATATTGTTAACATTTAACAAATATCACAAATGGATAAAATGGTTAGTGGCTATTTTACAATAAAATATAATTTGCTCTAGAAAATTTTGAGTAACCAAAATAAAAATAGATAATTGAATGATCAATTGTATAATTTATGCTAGAAAAATGATTCTAATAAATGATAATACTTTCCCTTTTTTTCAATCGTAGCTTAAGATTTTTCTGGGTTACCTTTTTTTTACAAATTATATGTATGATAAAGTTTAAATGTGGAACTTATTAAATTATGCATTTCAAAACAGCTATAAAAGAATAAATTTCGAATGTAAATTTCTTGAATGATTATATATGAATATATATATGTTAATTTGGAGGATAGGTGTTTCCCTGCAATCAAAGCAGGGAAAAAAGCAAAGGATGAAGCAAAATGTCATCTTTTCGAAGCACGTTGAAACAGGAGAATTCCACTAAACAAATGAGACATGTAATGTAATTTCATGAGGTCAAAAGAGTAACATGTCTTCCACTACTTACTCTCAAAACCAGTTTCTCATTCATCGTATACATTGAGGGGTGGGGAGAGAGAAAAAGAAAGTGGTTTGTTCACATTAAAGCATTTCATAATAATGAATTATCAGTAAAAGTCATGAATAATAAATAAATCATAGTATATAAATTCATTTTTTCTATCTATCCAATAAGTTTCAAGTTATTTTAGTCTTATCCCTATAAAGGAAAGCAAAACCTAAATTAAACCCTGTAGGATTCTCCTCCTGCGGAGAGATAGAGAAGAAGATGTCATCGAGCTCCCAGCAAGCCATGCCAAACCAGTGCTTCTCCGAGGAAAGAGAGATGCCTTGTGCTGTTTCTCAAATGGGTTTCTTTACTTTTCCTCAAAACCTCACTTCATTTGCTTCCCATCAATCTCTCAAACCCTTCGATATTGCACTGCCTAATCTAACCCAAACCCTATCCTATCCGAAGCATAGAGTGCAGGGCCCTGCTTCTGATTTTGGAGAACCCCAACCGCTTTCCTTGCACAGATCTACTGCAAATTTCTGGTGAATATATTGCTTTTTACATTAATACTTATTCATGCAAAGTCTTTTTTAATTAGTTTTCAATGCTTTTCTTTCTTTGCATGTAAATGAAATGGTGAAATATTTATCGACCCTCCATGAAAAAAAGAGATGATTGGTTTTCATGCAGTTATCTCAGGGCATGGGGAAACGAGTGCTTGGGAGCTAAGAAAATCGGTGTAGAAGATCATGTAGGCGTTTCGGCAGTGAAAATGAAAAGGATAAAAGGAAGAAGAAAAGTAAGGGAACCTAGGTTTTGCTTCAAGACCCTGAGCGATGTGGACGTGCTCGATGATGGATACAAGTGGAGGAAGTACGGCCAGAAAGTGGTAAAGAACACCCAGCATTCCAGGTTCACAATCAAATATACATCTCTTTTTTCCTTTTAAAATTTGGCTTTGTAGTACCCGTCACACATGCTATGCTTCCCTGTCTTGTAATTATTCTTTGTTTATCATGACTACCAGGCTTTACAGTACTCATATTGCATGATATCTGAAATTGATAGGGATTTTAATCATGAATTCACATTAGATAAATTTTAGAGCATGGAAGAACTAATTATTAGCTCCAAAAGATACGAGATCACAACAAAAAGAGGGAAATTATGTAACAACTGATAAATAATAATGCCTAACAATGCTAAAAGTTAGGGATACGTAGCAACTGGGCAATGCCATAATGAAATTATATAGAAATAGTCCATTTTATTAAATACAGGTTCGGTGGTTCATGTCATGAATCATTTGAAAATTAAGAAGCCATCACAAGGATGACAAAAGTTGAACATAAATTTGCTACCGATTAGCATGTGTTTCTTTTTTATTATGGAAAAGAGTGTACCAAATAATCAAGCATGCAAAGCAATATTAGTTAAATTTGCTTTGAAAAGACAAAGAAATCTAGTTAATTAAAATAAATTTTACCATCATTGTGCTTTGGATTATAACCGAAGTTCCCTAGTTACATTTAACAGTAAAATATTATGTTATTATGAGTAATTTATTTTGCAAACAAAATAATGAGGATGGAGCAAGTAGGTCCCTAAATTCTGACTTATGTGAAAGAGGAAGCCTACTAATTCAAATTGGTAATAAATAGTAATCATAACCAATGACATATCATAGTTTGATTAACTTCATCATTAAGAAGACACAGTGCCAGTGACCTAGATATCCACCTTCATGCAACCTTTCAGATTATCACAATACATCCCCCTATTTTATCTTTTAATTCACATTCAAGCCCCCACATGCTTACAACAAAAATTCTCAGTGTTCACTCTAAGTAAAAGAACTATAATTCCTTCCTTTAAAATGTCAATTATATAATGAAAAAATGAATTGAACTGAATGCAGGAGCTACTATCGTTGTACGCAAGATAATTGCAGGGTGAAGAAAAGAGTGGAGAGACTGGCAGAGGATCCAAGGATGGTTATTACAACCTACGAAGGGAGGCACGCTCATTTGCCATCTCACGATCTCCATGACTCCCACCACCCAAACTCTCTCCTTGACAGTTTCTTCTAGTGCCATATCTTCATATGATTTCATACATTATTTCTGAATCATATTATCTCACTTCAATAAAATAAATTTGCTTTATATTTATTTTAAAAATATTTTAATAACATACAATTATTTAGTTTATTGATACTGAATTACAATAAATATATAACTTACATATAATTTGTATATATTTGATGCATTAACTATATATGTACTAAAATCAAATAATATTATTTTATTAAAATTTTAAAAATTCATATTAATTAATAGAAAAACTTAATAATCTTCATTGTTAACACACACACACATATATATATATATATACATATTATAATATTAAAATCATAGTGATATAAATGGATGGTTCAAATATATGGTGTGGATAAGGTCATTGATATAGCGGCAGAAGTATAGTTTTCCAACTTGGTTGATAGTAATTTTAAGGAATAATGTTAAAATTAGTCTTTCGTGTTAATTGATATTTATATATGTATTACAGTATAAATTTCATATGTCATATCACTTAATATAATGACATGAAATATGTCATATCATCTATGACGATGATGTAGTGTGTGTCACATTAGCAATTAAGTACATGTGTAGATACTAAATCAACAACATGAATTGATTATTAATCAACTAACAATTTTTACTAAGCATGAGATATTTTGACCAAAAATTGAAATGTTAAGAGTTAAAATACTCTAAAAATAATGACTAAAACAACTATTCAAAAAAACATGAGGGGCCAATTTTGACCTTATGCCTCATTTGAAAGTTCAAACCTTAAACAACCTTTTTGATTAAAAATAAATCCAAACATTAATAATCTTTTTTCCTTATGCCCGATTAAAAATAATATTTTATACAAATTGATATGATCCTAATCAGCAACAACTTCTATTATCTTATATATGCATTACATAATGTCATAAGCTTGCATTTACATCCTATAATATGCTTATCATATGTTTTCCATTCATCTTATCCTATGATTTACATACTTACATATCATGCTACATTCATTATAACATCATGCTTCGAACATCATACTTTGCATGTTACATGATTATAGGGGTGTTCAAAGTTCGGTTTAAACTATTTAACCGACCGAATTGAAGTTTTTCTAGTTAATCAATCAATTAATTTTAGGTTCAGTCGGTTAATGGTTAATGATTTTTCTAAACATTGGTTATTGGTTAATTCGGTTTGAAATCGGTCGATTAACCGAATTAACCAAAATTATTAAAAAATTAAATATATATTATATATACTATTTATATAATATAGAGTTTAAACTTCAGTTTTAACTAAATTGACCGATCGAATTAGCCAAAAATATAAAATATTTAATACATAATATATATTATTTATAAATTTCGGTTAATATAATTAACCGATCGATTAATCGAACTTAGTTTAATTCGATTAATTATTTTCAAAAAAATTGGTTCGATTTATGATTAAAGGAAAAAAACTCGGTTAATAAAATTTTAGAAGTTCGGTTCAGTCGGTTAACTGAACCGGCCGGTTGAACACCCATACATAATTATCTTTGATATGTATTTTATTCTTTATATCCACATGTTTATATTATGGATACTTCATGTCTAACACCATTTTCATGTGTTTTCATTGCTTTTACGTACTTATTTAGACATGCATTATGTTATCTTAGCGCACATATTGTTTTAATAATTTTACATAGGTGAACAGTTAAAGAATGCATGTTGTGGTAGCTCAATGGAAGCTCATCAAACTTAAATGATCTCAACAACAATCTAAGGCAACTAAATTAACTGAATGGGAGCAAAACCTAGTTGGAAGGGAGATGAAGACTAAGTAGCTGACTAGTGGAGTGAATTTAGCTAGAAGGTAACTAAAGTGTGAGCAGAGTAGCTGGAGTGACACTAGGTACCTAGATAGGACCTACCTAGCTACAAGTCACCTAGCTAGCTACCTAAGATATCATTCTTGCTACCAAGAATCATGTGCCTTCACCATGCATAATGTGTTTTCATTTTGACGCCTAAAGCATCAAGGATACATGTGCATTCAGCAAGGATACATGTGCATTCAGCAAAGAATCACAAGTATTCATCTTTTGGCTCCTAAAATTGAGCCAAACCATCATAGTGAATTCAAAACATCTTTTACGCTGAACTAACACCTAATCATTTAACCAAGAGCATGAACTTTCATTAAAAGTCGTGAATATTTATTAAAAACATGTACAAACTTTCATTAAAAGTCGTGAATATTTATTAAAAACATGTACATTCAGAAGGACACGTACATTCATTTCTATTAGAAGAATAAATACAATGTTTTTTGGCCTAAGAACATTGATCTTCATTTAAAACAACATAAAACTTCAAAAGGACACCACCTTGCTAAAATATTACAAAGTTATTCGGCCATGTCCTTTGATTTGTTATAAATATCCAATGTTTGGCTTTGTAAGTCTTCGCATCTCACTTTTGCTTAATCAAATTACTCTTTGTTAGTTTATTCTCTCTTCAAGTTCTTTGAGAACTTTATCGACTTATCAAGCCTAGTGCTTGTTACGTTAACCCCTTTCACTTCCATTGATACTTATGATTCCTAATTCTTCTGTAACTAGTGGATCCAAGTCCTTGTTTACCACCCGGACACTGAACTTATAAGGCTAAGGGTTCTGTTTTCTATAGCATTGTTTCTACTTTAGTTCTTTGTTCATATTGTCATAATCACCATCCCATTCTTTCTGCACCATCACCATACCCAAACCATCTTTTAAAACAACCTACTCATATATATTATTTTATCTTCTTTCTACTTATATTTCAAGCCCACCTTTCATACCTTTACATCAATCACCTCTACACTTTTTTTTGGAGTCTTTCTTTCTACAAGTTGTCTTGATTCCTTTCTAGATCCAACAATCATGGTGTTGTTATCTTCAACATTCAATAAGACATGCAACTTACCTACTATCATATAGTATCAGAGCTTCAATAGAAGAAAGCAAGTGCATAAAGTGAAGCCCAATTGAAGTGTCAAAAGAAGAAAACAAAAGACAAAACAAGAAAAAAAAGAAGGAAAAGAGAAAAATAAAACAACTTCATTATCTTCAAAAGAAATGAATTCAAGAAGAGTTAAAAAAACGACAAAAGTTCAAGGGTGAAAGGGCAACAACATCAATTCCCAACATCAAGCCTGAAACCATTATCTTTAAGACTTGATTGTTGTTGAAAGAAAGGTTGTAAGATGCTTAACTAGTAAGTAACCCTTTCTTCTTTTTTCCCTATTTCTATGCCTACATATCATTATTTGTTTTATTTTCTTTCTTACCCTAACATTTTTTCAATGACACAACAGAGCACAACTCTTGCCTAAGTTTTGAGTAAGTTCTTTAAAGGACTTTACCAAAGATAATAAAGAGAAAAAGTCAATTGAGCATGTGAGATCAGAAGAGGATATTTAAAGCCATTAAAATCTTAGAAAGCAAACACGAGAGAAGAGAGACATCCTTGTTTCTTTGAAGTGTTTAAGTGAGGCTTTGTGAGAGTACTTCGGTAAAGTCGTTTTTTATTCTTATTTCTTTCCATTTCTAACCATGTTGTAAGACTATTTTCCATCTACTTCCAATAGGGTCCTTAATGTCAAAAGGACAATGAATATTGAATCTTTTGAAGATGAGCAACAATGTGAAAACTTTGTTCATACATGGTGCCATGTAAATGGAGAAGTGTGCTACACGATCATAGATGGAGGAAGTTGCACCAATGTGGGGATAATTTTAATGGTGGAGAAACCAGGCCTAAAGAGAAGCAAACATTCTCACCTATAAATGTTGCAATGGTTAAATGATGAAGGCGATTTGAATATCACAAAACAAGTGATGATGCCATTTTTTTTTGGAAATTATAAAGACAAAGTATTGTGTGATGTTGTGTCTACAAATGCAAGTCACATACTACTTGGAAGACATTGACAGTTTGAAAAATGAGCCACTCATGATGGATTCACAAATTGATATTCATTTACATATGAAGCAAGAAGATTACCTTGGCTCCTTTAACTTCGAGCCAAGTACAAGAAGAACAAACTCACTTGAAGAGGAGCATTGAAGACATAAGAGAAAGTGAAAAAGAAGAAGAACATTTTGAAGAGAAAGAAGTGAATGAGGATAAAAATACGAATGAGATTATGAATGAAAGCAATATTGAGATTAAAAAGCGTGAATGTGGAGAGACAATGAGGATAAAAGATAGATTTTATCTAACAATTATGTTTCTTCTGTAACACCCTAATACAGTTAGACCTGAAGATTCATGGATTACAATGTTACATGGGAATGTTTGATGACGATAAATCTCCACGAAATGCCCCTAAGAACCTACGCACAGAAACACATTCTGAACGTTGAGCTTACGGGATCATTGCCTCACTAATAATTGTACTATACTAAATGCATTCACTAAATGAGTTAGCTAGTGGCACAAGTCTGAACATGCAAAGATATTGATTTTAACTATTGAGTAGGGATCATGGTACGACTGAGGGTTCTGCATCTCGGAGCACACATACCTCTCTAACTTTTCTGAGATACCCTCAGGTATCTAGGGTGAGATCTAGAGTTGCATTGAAAATGTAAAACCGTCAACTTACTCCATCGGTTCTTGGGGTATCTGTGCCCAATCGGCTACTGAAGTGCCTTGGCACTGACTAACGTATTCTGCTAAGGAGGAACTCGGGTTTCCTGGCTATTTCCCAAATATCATACAAGGCTAGTTTTATGTAATCCTAGTTGTTACTATTTTTATTGTTATGGTGTTTATTACTGTTCTCGCTTAAAATCTTATTTGTTGTTATTCTGAGTATATGGGGTACCTCGAGTCTGAATCCCTTACTCATTGGATTATTTATCCAAATCTGTTCGTGGATATCGATATCGACCTTTTAGTATCAATACTAAACATTTGGTATCGATACCCACCTATTGGTATCGATACCCCCTGACTGATGTAGACTATTTTTTTTAAGGCAATATCGATACCCTAGAAGGAG